TTTAAGCCGATTGCTCGAAAACGATTCCTCCGTGAACTTGCCGATACCCGAGTTGCCGAGTAAGGGATGCAATCTCTTTAGATTTCGGCTCAACGTGTCCAGGGATGTTTTCTTTTCTCTCCAGGTGGATTATCGAAACGTATAGTAATCCTGACGGTATTAAAAGGATATGAACGAAGAAATGAGAATTGCGAGTAATTTTTTGAGGCTAGGCCGAAATAATAAACGTTAATAGAATAATAGATTTGGGCCCAACGTGTCTAAGGATGTTTTCTTTTCTCTTTAGAAGGACTATCGAAACGTATAGTAATTTAATATTAATTTAGTATTAATTTAGTATTAAGTGTCTAGGAATATTTTCTTTTTTCTCCAGATAGATTATCGAATATATAGTAATCTTGATTTAGTATTAAAAGGATACGAATGAAGAAATAAGAATTGCTAGTAATTTTTTGAACCTAAGTTGAAATAATAAACGTTAATAGAATAATAGATTTGGGCCTAACGTGTCTAGAGATGTTTTCTTTTTTCTCTAGAAGGATTATCGAAACGTATAGTAATCTTGACGGTATTAAAAGGATATGAACGAAAAAATAAGGGCTGCGAGTTAATTGAACGATTGTCAAATAGCTAAAGAAGTAACAATTACGAGTCATTTTTTAAGAAGGGAGATTTTTAAGATCAAACTAAATAAGACTAGAATTTTGTTTAACTGACGAAAAAACGAAGCGCTATAAGTTAATTTTTGAGAGCAAATATAATTCGCCAACGTCGAAACCAGCCACGATTGCAATTTTTCAGGCCAAGCCAAAGAGAATCCCTTTGATAGGTTTATGCATAGATCGTTGGCTCGCCTCGGGTATAAGTTTCCGCGTTACTTAAATTTTCGCGGTCCTTGCCGTTGATTAAGCTCGAGGCACGGGGAGAATAACGCCTCCTTTGAAACGGTTTCGACGGTCAAAGCCTAAAGAGAAAGAGGACGTCTCGGTTACTTCGTCACGTTCGTAACTTTCTTGTTAGAAGCAAGTTTGGAAATACTGTCGTCGAGTGTCTTCAACGTTCAACCCACATTCTTCGATCGAGAAAACTTGGCGAGTTTTGCCGCCAAAGATATCGGCCTCCTATCTAAAAACTCCTCTTTATACGACAAACATTCTTAAACGCTTGTCTATATACATACATACATTCGTTCCGTTTTGCAAGACGGACAACAATCGATAATAAACGAAATAATAAACGTTAATAAAATAATAGATTTGGCTCCAACGTGTCTAGGGATGTTTTCTTTTCTCTCCAGATGGATATTTGTGGGATGGAATGGAATTGAAACGATTCAAAAAAATAATGATTTCGATCGATTAGATCCAAATATGTGAACCATTAAATTATTGAAATTTATTGAAATTATATGAAAAATAAATATAACGAGTACTCATTTCATCCCACAAATATCCCGCCGCTTTTGAAGAAAGAATGAAAAGAAATTTCGCAGGAAATTCTTCGTCAACTTCTTCAACTGCGTAGAACCTTGTGTAAACTAATAATAAAATCCCTTCTTTTATTCATTCGCCTCTCGGTTTTTTGTTTTCATTGCAGTATAACATAAAGAAGCGGGAAGAGGTGCAAGAGATGACTCAAGAGGAGCCCAATCCTTTGATGCGCAAGAAAAAGACGCCAGAGGAATTGGCCGCGGAAGCCGAGGCGGAAGAAGAGGACGAGATTACAAGTACGTGTCGATTCGCATTATTCGAGAAAAATACATAGCCGATCGTTTCGCGAATGGGAAGAGAGAAACGAGGGGGTTCAAAACAAATTTTTGCGATATTAAGGGCGGTGGTTACGCCGACACATACGATTAACACGAATTAAATTGGCGCACAAGGGGATGATCGATGAAGGGTTAACGAGCGTTGGTTAGAAATTAAACAACGCCGTCCCAGCTCTGTTGGGCTAAATTGGGCCGCACAATCCCGCTCGATTCTCATGGTGAAATCGGCGTTGCGTAATTGAAAGAGTTTGAAAAAAAAAAACTGCAAGCCAACTTCCGGCCGTTCATTTGCGATTCCCCATTGTTTCGTAAACTAAACTGGAACACGTATGCACGTGCATACGTACATACGCGCCTACGCGCGATCGAATAAAATGTATACAAGGGTGTTGGATAATATATACATTCGTGGACACGCTTTTGGATTTTCGAGATTCTAGAAAACGAGAAAAATATCCGTCTCTTCGTCACGTTATAAATTACAATTTAAATTTACGTCAAATTTCAAAGATATATATTTTTCATTTATTCGCTCTTTGAAATTATATTTCCACCTTCGAATAAAATATCTTGAAAATCTGCCTATAATTTAATTAGAATCGATCCAAATCCAAAAGTGGTGTCCCCTAAATATATATCAACAACTTTATTGCAAAAATCTAAATTAATGTAATACACGTATTGTGTCTGTTCGTTTTCAGAGATCAAGAACGCGTTAGACACGCATATACAAGAGATCAAAGCGCAAGTACTTGATGGTAAATGCGACCTCCAATAAGCCTACCTAACACTCCTCGAAGCGGTCGGTAAGGAGGGCGGTGCATCATGCGCCGCCAGGGCCGCATCCGCCTCTCAGCCCCTACGACACCACGAAAGAAGAAGAGAAGAACGAGCAAGATCTGACGCGTTATCGGAGAAGCGAAAGGAAAGAACGATACGAAAGGAGGAAAGGTTCAGCGTCGTCGTCGTCGTCGTCGTCGTCGTCGTTGTAGTCTTCGGTTCGGTCTTCGTCGTCTTGTTATTGTTCGTTCGAGAATCGATTCGAGATACTCACCGCGTGTCCACGGATGGCGACCAGACACTCGAGACCAGACCACGCACATCCCCTCTCCTCCGCACCTTCGTCCTCCGCCGTTCTCGATCGATCGAACGGCCGATCGATCTCATCAAGGCACGCGATCGAAACCGAGCCGAAAAATCGACGATTTTGGACGGATCGATTTTGGACGGATCGATTTTGGACGGGAGAAATTTCGGGAGGGGGGTGATGATCGCGTTTTGAGTGTCGTCCGTTCGTCCTTTGCGTTTGTCGATCCGATCGAAACGAATTTCGAGAGATCGTTACGTGGATAAGGCCACGGAGTGATCTTGGGAATGGAGGAATATCTGGAGAATCTTTGGAGGAGCGGGACGAGGTCTCTGAGATCTCTGAGAAACAACGAACACCGGTTTATCGAGTTATAGAGGAAAAGGGATGATCGAAAGTGACGATGAACCGTTTCCATGGTCCGACCGAGTGAAGAACGTGCGTATATAGAAAATATATGATAGGGAAAAATAAAAAATTAGGGGACGATGACGGGATAAAAAGCGAGGACATTGCGGCAGACACGAGAAAGTGTAAAGAGCATAGTAGTGAGAGTTTTCGTTGATATTAGATTCGGAGAAAGATGGAGGAGCGAAGACGATCCGAAAGAAAGGGGAATTCGTTTATGCCTTACGATTCGAGGAGAGGAAAGAGACGAGACTATCGGCGAGGATAAAGAGAAAAGGAAAAAAAGGAAAAGAAAAAGAAAGAAAGGGAGAAAGCGAAAAAAATCGTTTGATCGATCCGAAAGTCTAGTATCGTGGCGTGAAAATGAGACGCGAGCAGTCGAAGGGCGCGTGCATAATAAATATATCTATATATATATATATAAATATAAAATGAAGAAATATATATATATATATACGAATAAGAAAAATGAAAGAAGTAAAAAAGAAAAAAAAAAAAAGACGTAAAATTAGTACCTAAGTTTCTAGTGAATTTTCGAACATATAGTGGTAAAAAAAAAAAAAAAAAAAAAAAAAA